CCGCACTGCCTCTGCCTCTGCCTCTGCCTCTGCCTCTGCCTCTGCCTCTGCCTCTGCCTCTGCCTCTGCCTCTGCCTCTGCCTCTGCCTCTGCCTCTGCCACAGGCCGGCCCGGGCCCTGCGCGCCCCTCGGCGGCCCAGCTGCACCCCAGGCTGTGGCCCCAGCGCTGTCCCGGCGGCGCCAGGGCGGCAGGAGCTCGGGGCGCAGTGGCCGGAGGGCGCTGTGGTTGGGGTGCCGGCCGGACAGCCCTGGGCCAGGCCCGCTGGGGACCCCGGGCCCCGGTGTGACCCGCGAAGGGCAGGCCCCCCATCTTCTCAGAGCAGCGCCCCCACGGGGGAGGGACAGTGAGGGGGGCGGGGTACGGGGGACGGGGTGGGGGGCTGTTAGTCTCGTGGGTCAGGGGACCCCACAGGAGTGGCTGCCAGAGGGACATGTGGCTTCAGGGCCGGTCCCTGGTGGCCCGGGCAGTGCCCGCTGTGGACCTAGACCCCGAAGCCGCTCTGACCACCCCCTTCCCGGCCACCAGGCCAGCGGACGCTCCTCCTCTGAGCAGCCGTCCCGGCCGCTTTGGGCCATAGCGCCCGAGGGACCGGCCTGGCTCAGGAGGCGCTGGGCAGCGGCTGGGCTCCTCGGGGTCCCACCTCGCTCCTGGGCAGCCCAGCGGCCCCTGAGGTGCGCCCCCCCCCAAACACGGGGCAGCCTCATGGGTGAGAGCCTCGGGTCTGGCTGGGGTCTCAGCCTCGGCTGCTGTCTTTCTGCCCTCCTGCCCCGGGGCGTCACCTCTGCCCCCGGGGCCCTGCAGGCTGAGTGGGGTTCGAGGGAGCACAGAGGGGGCTGAGGGCACCAGGCCGGGCCCGCGGCTGCGCCCGGTGGTCTGGCTGAACCTCCTGCCCTCCCTCAGCCTCCGGGGCCTCATCACCGACCCTCCAGGGTCCCCTGTAGTGCCCGCCGGGGAGGCCCTGCGGCCGGCACCCCGGGGTGGCACTGCCCCTTTGGCAGGCCAGCCTCTGCCCGGCTCCCATTAGGCCCCTCCGCAGGCACCTCAGGGTAGCACCCTGCCCTCAGGTTCCTTCTAGGGAGGCCCGGTGTGTGCCCCCCCCACCTTGCCCCCTCCCTCTCCCCCGTGGCCTCAGGGTGGGCACCCAGCACCCGGTGCTGAGGAGTGGCCCCTCGGAGGGGGTGAGTGGCCACCTCGGGCTGGGACGGGAGGGGAGGGAAGAGTCTCTGGGAAGGGAGTGGGGAGGAGGGTGCAGGCTGGTGATGTGGAGTCTCCTCGGGGGCGGCTCTGTGCAGGGGGCTGGATCCCCGCCCTGTTCCTGCCCACATCCTGCCCCCGGGGGCCGAGACAGCCGCCACACACCCTGGGGCAGAGGGGGCGGGGGCACCCCTGGGTGCCTGCACCCAGTCCCTGAAGCTGGAGCCGCCAGCAGCCCTGCAGGGGGGCGGGGAGGACAGAGGCGGCAGGACCTGTGGCTGCTCACACCTGCCCAGGCCAGGGCGTCAAGGACAGGGGCGTCAGGGGCAGGGGCGTCAGGGGCAGGGGTGTCAGGGGGCAGGGGCGTCAGGGGCGTCAGGGGCAGGGGTGTCAGGGGGCAGGGGCGTCAGGGGCGTCAGGGGGCAGGGGCGTCAGGGGCAGGGGCGTCAGGGGCAGGGGTGTCAGGGGGCAGGGGCGTCAGGGGCGTCAGGGGGCAGGGGCGTCAGGGGCAGGGGCGTCAGGGGCGTCAGGGGCAGTGGCGTCAGGGGCAGGGGTGTCAGGGGCGTCAGGGGCAGTGGCGTCAGGGGCAGGGGCGTCAGGGGCAGTGGCGTCAGGGGCAGGGGCGTCAGGGGCGTCAGGGGCAGAGCCCCCGGGGCCGAGGGCTCTGGGAGACCGGTGCCCAGGCCTGGGCCACCTGAAGCCGTCCGTCCGGGGCAGGGCGGGCAGGCACTGTGGTTGGCGCGGGAGCCCTCTGCCCTCTCCACGGAGCCCCTGACCCGTCGGAGCTGTCGGCCTGCCTTCCCATCGCCCCCTCTCTCCTGGGACCCGCCGCCCCCTCTCTCCTGGGCCCCGCCGCCCCCTCTCTCCTGGAACCCGCCGCCCCCTCTCTCCTGGAACCCGCCGCCGCCGGTGGAGTTTGGGTGAGAGGCCCCATGTGGCTGTCAGACCCCCCCCAGGCGCGCGCTCTCTGCCTCCACCCGCTCGTTCTCGCTCTGACAGGACCGTCGGGACCTGAGGGTGTGACGGCGGCGTTTCTCGTTCCGTCACCTGCTTCCCCTCTGCCCGTCGGCCCGTGAGTCCTCGCGCTCAGTGATGGACGCGATTCCTTCCTTTATCTCTTTGAAGAGCCTCCAGGCCTTGGGCCGTCCCCAGGAGCAGAGGCAGGGGTCCTGCCTGGCCTGGAAGCCGGCGGGCACTCCTGGCCAGTGGGCACCCCTGGCCGGCAGGCACCCCCGGCCGGCGGGCACCCCGGCTGGCGGGCACCCCTGGCCAGCGGGCACCCCTGGCCAGCGGGCACCCCCGGCCGGCAGGCACCCCCGGCCGGCGGGCACCCCGGCCAGTGGGCACCCCAGCCGGTGGGCACCCCGGCCAGCGGGCACCCCCGGCCGGCAGGCACTCCAGCCAGCGGGCACCCCGGCCAGCGGGCACCCCGGCCAGCAGGCACCCTGGCCAGTGGGCACCCCAGCCGGTGGGCACCCCGGCCAGCGGGCACCCCGGCCAGCAGGCACCCCCGGCCAGTGGGCACTCCCCAGCTGGCTCCCGGGGGCACAGCCACCGTCTGGGCACGTGCACAGAAAGCCTCGCCAGCCAGACATGCGAAGAGCCGGGATGGGGCCGGGAAACCTGTGGGTTTTGATTAAATGGAGTTTTAATTAGAGCCGCCAGGCCAGCGGGCGAGGGGGGAGGCGGTCCCCGGGCCGGGCGGCTGTGGGCCGTCCCTCGGCGCCTCCACGGGGCCCGGCATGTGCTCAGCGTGGGCCGGCCTGACCGCCCTGGCCCCCGGCCGCCGCGGGGAAATGATGCGTGATTAATACTTAATTTCCCCTTCTGGCCGCGGCAGGGGCCCGGGGGCTCCTAGACGGACAGCCACGGCGAGGGTCCTGGCCACCCAGCCCTCCCCACGCCCTGACCGCCCTGCGGCTCGGGGAGGCCTGGAAGGGAGGGGAGTGGGGGAGGGTTTGGGGAGGGGGCCAGGAACTCTCCCGCTGCTGTTTTCCCAGTTCCGCCCAGTACCGGGAGGCCCTTTGGGGCTCAGCTCCTCGTGTGTGAGAGGGGGTTCGTGGGACAGGGAGCACACGGGCCGCACGGCGAGCTGAGGAGGTCAGGGTGCAGGTGCAGGGCTGGGGGGCTGGAGGCGCGTCTCGCGCTGGCTGTGCGCGGCGGCGGCTGGTTCCTGTGGGGGACGGGGACGGGGACGGGGGAGCCCTCACTGGCCGTAGGGGAGTGTGTGCACCACAGAAGCCCAGCAGAGGCCACAGCACAGCACCTCTGCCCCGGCCTCCACCGGGCAGAGCCTGCGGGGCCGCTGTGTGCGGGGGGGGCGGGGCGGGGGGGGGGGGAGGAAGGGGTGCCAGCCGGCAGAGAGGCAGCCTGGAGGGGACCCAGCTGGAGGGGCGCTGGGTGTGTTTTAGCTGCTGGCAGGGTTGGCCTGGGCCAGAGGGTCTGTGGCCTCCAGGAGACTTGGGGTGGGGGCACCCCGACAGCAGGAAGCATGTTGGTACCAGTGCTGCTCAACACGGGAGCCCAGACACAGAGGCGTGGGGAGACCCTGAGGACTGGGGGGACCCTGGGGACTGGGGGAGGGGGTATGCAGGCCGGCATGGGCCGCTGGAAAGAGGGGCGAGGGGGCTGGGCCCACAGGGCATCAGTGGGCCTCCAGGGCAGGACCGAGGGGCAGCAGCCTCGGCTCCTGGGAAACGTGGGGTGTGCTTTGGCTCGGTGGGAGGCCAGGTGGGCTGGTGATGGTCCACCCTTGGAGAGAGGGCCATGGGGGGGCTGCAGGCTCCAGCCTCCCGCTCCGGCCGGCGGCAGGCGCTGCCGTGCACACCGGGGCCCGGGGAGCGGGGCTGGGGACGGTGTCTGGCAGAGGGGACACAGGAGCCTCCACGTGTGTGACGGGTTGGGACGGAGGCGGTGGGAAGAGGGGGTGCACTGGGCGTTTGGGGGGCTACCGAGCCTCCTGCCTGTGCTCTGGGTCAGTGACCTCACACGGCCGTGGCCCTCTGACTCCGGGACGCCCTTGCAGAACTGTGTGTCCCCCTCTAGAACCAGGGGCTGGAGGCCCCACGGGGCCCACCCCCACGTTTCCAGGGGGAAACCAAGGCCCAGAAAGGACAGCCTCCCGGCACGTCCTCGCGGCGCCCCACCGCTGCCTGGCACCCATGGTGGCATCGCCAGGCGTCAGAGCGGGCTGGGGAGCGGCATGGGAGGAGGGAGGGGAGCTGGCCGCCCCCCCCCCCCCCCCCGCGCCACGTGCCCGCAGCTGGCGGGGCTGCTCCGCCCCCGGGCGGGCGCAGGAGGGCGCCGCTGCCGCACCGGGTGCAGGAGCAGACGCCGGGCTCCTTCAGAGGGAGCACCCCAGGGCCCTCCAGCTGCTCCCGCCTGGGGCCTGGGCGAGAGAGAGCGGGGGGTGAGGGGCTTCGGGGGGGCAGGGAGGGGGGCTGTGGGTGGCAGTGAGGCTGAGCGGGAGGGACGGACCGGAGGGACTTCCCTCGGAGAGGGTCGGGCTCCCTGGGGGAGGCCTCTCGGGGGGACCCAGCGGTGCCCCCCACCCCGCAGCGCCAGCCCCTCACCGGCCTCTCCTCCGCAGGTGCTGGGACCCTGACGCCGCCGAGCTGCGCGCCATGGAGCCCCGGGGGGCGGCCCGGTTGCTGGAGCCGCGCAGAAGCCCGTAGGAGCCCCCCCATAGGGAGCCCCCGGCGATCGGGGCGCCGGGGAGGGCGCGGGCGGGCGGCCGGCGGCGCCGCAGCTATGGACCGAGAGCCGGCCCGGCCCGCGTGCTCGCCGCCCCCCCGCGGCCGCGGCCATGGATGACACGGGCTCGCTGGCCGTGTACATGGTGGTGGAGCTGGCCATCGCCGTGCTGGCCGTGCTGGGCAACGTGCTGGTGTGCTGGGCCGTGTGGCTCAACAGCAACCTGCAGAGCGTCACCAACTTCTTCGTGGTGTCGCTGGCGGCGGCCGACATCGCCGTGGGCGTGCTGGCCATCCCCTTCGCCATCACCATCAGCATCGGCTTCTGCGCCGCCTGCCACAGCTGCCTCTTCCTGGCCTGCTTCGTGCTGGTGCTCACGCAGAGCTCCATCTTCAGCCTGCTGGCCATCGCCATTGACCGCTACATCGCAATCCGCATCCCCCTCCGGTGAGCGGCGGGCGGCGTGGGGGACCCCCGCGCGGGGCCGGTCTGTGTGTCCGTGGGTGGGGGTGACAGGGCGTCCCACCCAGCGGGCCCCTGTGGCCCCGGGCACCGGCCCTTCCCAGACCCCCCGGGGACCAGGCCGCCGGGCTCCGGAGGGTGGCGGGGAGCGTGGCCCAGGCCTGGGCGGTGTGCTCACACAGCGGGGGGCGGGGGCACCCCGGGAAACCACGGGGTCGGAGCAGCGCCAGCCCTCCCAGCTCCTGGGGGAAGGGGACGGGGGGACGGGGGGAGAAAGGTCTGAAGTCTCACAGGCGGAGATGGCCGGAGGGAAGCGGAGGCCGCAGGAGCCGTTACGGACCTGTGTGCACACGCCCGCTCCTCCGGCCACCAGTGCCGCGGCGGGAGCCAGCCAGCGTGGGGGTGGGGGTGGGGGAGGATGGGGGGCGGGGGGCTGGCGGAGGGGTTTTCGGGAATCTCCTGTGAAGTGACTGCAGCCGCGGGTGCAGGAGGCTCCCCCGGCGGCTACGTGTGTGCGGCCTCCGCCGCCCCAGCCAGCGGTGCGGCTGCGTGTCCTCCCGCCCGAGCCCCCCGCCCCCTCCCTGCCCCTGGCGCCCGGGAGGCCTCAGAGGAGGGGCTCCCAGTGAAGGGCAGATGCACGTGGAGCCCCTGGAATCTGGGGGTGCTCTTGGATCACAGGGTGAGCCCTCCGGGTGGGTGAAGGAGCAGCTGGGAGCTTGGAGACAGGGAGGACCCAGGTCCTCCGAGTGTGGGCGGTGGCTCTGGCCCCCCTTCCTGACCCCTCTGGGCTCCCCATGTGATGGCGCTAAGTCCCAGGGGCTGCTGGGTCGGGGCTGCGGTGCAGCCACTGTCCCGCTCAGCTCCTGGGGGCCGAGGGCTTTTGAACAAAAGGAACGCGGTGTTTCTAAGCTTGAATAACGCGAACAGCCTGCCGTCAGGGTGCAGCTGCCCTGGCCCTCTCCTGCCCTCCCCGGGGGCGGTGCTGGAAGCCCTCCCAGACCTGCTCCGCACGGGGCCAGGGGCTCTTTGAGGTCCAGCCGTGTCCCGAAGCCTCAGGCCAGGCCCGCATCCCGCGGTCACTCACGCCCATGGCAGGTCTGCGCTGGAGAGCCTGGCGGACAGCCCCAGCAGGGGCCTCCAGGGCCTCCACACCATCCCCACCGCCTTCCCCATCCCGGCTCATTCCTGCTTGATTGCCTCCAAGGCCCGGAAGCTCACTACCGCCCGAGGCGGCCGGGAACCGAACCCCGGCCTCCTGGCGACTTTGGGGTTTGGGGCTCCAGAGCGGCCCGGCTTCTGGGACACGCGCAGCAAGCCCATGGCTCTCCTTGGGCTTCGGCTTCCCCACCCGTAAACCAGGGCTGGCGGAGAGGTCCGAGGCCACCAGGTACTTGTTTCCTTCCTTTGAATCGGCTGACACAGCTGAAGCCACGGGAGCCCAGCTGGTGGGGCTCAGGGGCTGAGCATTGATTGACCTGTGAACCAGGAGGTCAGGGTTCGATTCCGGCCCAGGTTGCAGGCTCCATCCCCAGAGTGAGGCATGCTGGAGGCAGCCGACCCATGATTCTCTCTCATCAGGGATGTTTTGATCTCTCTCTCTCCCTCTCCTCTCTGAAATCAACAAAAATATATATTTTTAAAAACACACAGAAGCCACGGGAGATTTTACCCCGAAAATCGGCTGTCCGGCCCCTCCTGGGACCCGGCCACGCTGTGCACACCTGTTGCTTGGCAGGGAGGGGCCGAGCGGCAATGGCTGCCTCCTGGACACCCCCCGTCCCTCCCCCGCATCACTTGGTAATTTCCTCAGACCGAACCGATGAGGTGCCAGGACCGCTTGTGATGCTGACCGACAATCACCCGGACACGGGGCCCTGCTCTCCCGTGGCCTGCCGTGGGGAACGGAGGCAGGAGGCAGGACGCGGGTCCCTGACGCCGTCTCTCCCCCCTCCCCTCCCCTCCCCCCCCCACCCCGCAGGTACAACGGGCTGGTGACGGGCGCCCGAGCCAAGGGCATCATCGCCGTGTGCTGGGTGCTGTCCTTCGCCATCGGCCTGACGCCCATGCTGGGCTGGAACAGCTGTGACCGGCCGCGGGAGGCGCGCAACGGCTCGCGGGCGTGCGGCGAGGGCCGCGTGGCCTGCCTCTTTGAGGACGTGGTGCCCATGAACTACATGGTCTACTACAACTTCTTCGCCTGCGTGCTGGGGCCGCTGCTGCTCATGCTGGGCGTCTACCTGCGCATCTTCCTGGCCGCGCGGCGGCAGCTCAAGCAGATGGACGGGCAGCCGCTGCCGGGCGAGCGGGCGCGCTCCACGCTGCAGAAGGAGGTGCACGCCGCCAAGTCGCTGGCCATCATCGTGGGGCTGTTCGCGCTGTGCTGGCTGCCGCTGCACATCATCAACGGCTTCACCTTCTTCTGCCCGCAGTGCCGCCACGCCCCGCCCTGGCTCATGTACCTGGCCATCATCCTGTCCCACTCCAACTCCGTGGTGAACCCCTTCATCTACGCCTACCGCATCCGCGAGTTCCGCCAGACCTTCCGCCGCATCCTGCGCAGCCACGTGCTGCGGCGGCGGGACCCCTTCAAGGCGGGCGGCGCCAGCGGCCGGGCCGGGGCGGCCCCCGGAGGCGGCGACGGCGAGCAGATCAGCCTCCGGCTCAACGGGCACCCGCCAGGCTGGCTGGCCAACGGGAGCGCCCCCCGCCCGGGGCGGCGGCCCCCCGACGGCCACGCCCTGGGGCTGGCGGGCGGACGGGGTGCCCGCGGGGCCCCGGGGGACACGGGCCTCCCCGACCTGGAGCTCCTCAGCCAGGAGCTCGGGGGGCCCTGCCCGGACTCCCCCGGCCTCGAGGGCCCCCTGGCCCAGGACGGAGCGGGCGTGTCCTGAGGAGCCGCCCCCGGGAAGGACTCATTGCTCATCGTGGGCCGGGAGCCCGGCCGGCCGGGCGGGCGGTGCACGAAGGAGCCCTTCCCCCACGCGGCCCAGGAGGGACCCGGCGGGCGCAGCGCGAGGGGATTTGGAGCCCGAGAGCCGGCGTGTCACCGGGGACCCCCGTGCCGGCCAGGAGCGCGGCCCCGGAGCAGCTCGGCTGGGCAGGCTCCGGCCCCCTCTCCGGAAGCATGTGGAAGGGCCACCTTGTCTCTGCAGAGCAGACCGCTGGCCCCCGTGGCTCCGAGGGGCCCCTGCCTCCCCCCTCCCCAGGCCTTCCGAGGGTTTGGGGGCCGCTGTGCCTGGAAGTGGCTGGCGTTGGACTCTGTTTTCCGGGAAAAATGTGAGCGGGAAGATGCCCTCTTAATGTTATTATTGTTCCTCCCTGCCACCAGTCCTGCTGCTCAGCTGGCACAGGAGTCAGCCCGGGAGCCCCGGGCGGCCCTCTCCCCCCGCCCAGAGCCCTGTCCTGGGGACGAGGCTGGCCGCGGACGGGGCGCTGTGCTGGAGCAGGAGGGGATGGGGTGCGGGCTGGCCTGCGTGGGTGCGGGCAGCTTGCCGGCCTCGGCGGAGGCCTCACTGCCTTCCCCCGAAGGGCATGCCTTTTCTGAGATAAAATAAAAGTGGAGCCCGTTGTGTTTTAAGCTTGTCCGACGGGAATGGCGTCTGAGTTCCTCTCCCTGCTCCACGGCGGCCTGGCACACGTTACAGGCATGTGTCGTGTGTGTGTGTGAGACTGCGTGTAGACAGACAGACACCCTGCCTGCCCGGGGGCCTCCCCGGTGCTCAACCTCTGGGGGGCAGACTGCCTGGTCGCACCCACGTGCAGCCCCGAGACTGGGGTCCCTGAGAGGGGGCGGGGAGCGAGGAGCTGTACCCCAGCTGCTCTCCCTCCGCACAGCGTGGGGACCAGGTCCTCCCTCCCTCATCGCCTTCCTAAAGTCCTTCAAAGATCTCTTTGTTTTTTAAAGTATGTTTTTATGGATGTCAGAGAGGAAGGGAGAGGGAGGGAGGGAGGGAGGGAGGGAGGGAGAGAGAGAGAGAGAGAGAGAGAGAGAGAGAGAGAGAGAGAGAGAGAGACATCAGTGATGAGAGAATCATGGATCGGCTGCCTCCTGCACACCCCCCATCCGGGATGGAGCCCGCAGCCCAGGCCTGTGCCCTTGATTGGAATCGAACCCAGGACCCTTCAGGCCGCAGGCCGACGCTCTCTCCTCTGAGCCACACCAGCCAGGGCCAAAGAAGCTCTTTGTGCTACTTCTCAGAGCTACGCCCACCCTCCCGGTGCCCCTCCCGCCCCCTCAGCTGAGAGGCAGCCAGAGATCTGGGAAGAGATGGGCCGGCCCTGCACCGCCTTCCCACCCCCGCCAGCCCTCCTCCTGCTCCCGGCAGGAAACCTGTCAGAGCAGGTGTTTCCTGTGCTCCCTCGGGCTCCGTGCCTGAGGAGGGAGCCGTCCTCAGGGCAGTGAGGCCCGGCACCCTCGGGCAGGGCCAGGGAGGGCGTGTTTGTGCTCCGGGCACCTCCCAGCGTCATCTATGGATGGCTGAGCAGAGAGCCTGCATAGCCCCTCGGAACGGAGGGCCGGGACTGCCCGGGTCAGTGAGGGGCAGACGTGAACTTAAAACCCTGGCCATTTGCTCAGTGGTTAGAGCGTCTGCCTGTGGACCAAGGAGTCTCAGCTTGATTCCCGGTCAAAGGCATGGACCTGGGTTGTGGGTTCTCCAGCCCCTGTAGGGGTGCCTTCAGGAGGCAGCCAATCCGTGTGTGTGTCTCACATCAATGTTTCTCTCTCTCTCCCCTCCTCCCTCCTCCCACTCTTTCTGGAAATCAGTGGAAAATACCCTGGCCGGCATGGCTCAGTGGTTGAGTGATGACCTATGAACCAAGAGGTTACGGTTGGGGCCTAGGCCCGGGTGTAGGCTCGATCCCCAGTGTGAGGTGTGCAGGAGACCGGCGGCCAATGATTCTCTCTCATCATTGATGGTTCTCTCTCTCTCTGAAATGAATAAAAACATATTTTTAAAAATCAATGGAAAATAAAAACTAAACATTATGCTCCCCTCATTACCGCTCTTGGCCAGAGTGTAAAGCAGGAAGCAGTAGCGGCCCCACCACCTGCTCACAGAATGGACTTCACGGCTACAGTGGGCGCACCTGGCCGCTCCCCGGATGGCGACCCGGTGCCGGCACCTGGCACCCCTACCACCTGGGCTCCATCTCCCTCATTGCCCGGCTGTGTGCTCACTGCCCAGGTGTGTGGGGGGGTCCCGGCCAGCACGGCTGTCCGAGCTCTCGCTTCCGGCTGCAGCCCTCAGAGGCCCTCCCGGCGGCTGCCCGGGCCGGACGGGACCCAGCCCGCGGGGCAGCGCCAGGCCCGGCCTCCCCGAGCCCCTGAGGGCCCAGCAAGCGGCCTCGGAGCCCTCACGCTCAGCCTGGCTGCGATGCCCTGAGCCTGCACCAGCTCCCTCCCAGCCAGGCTGGCTTCCTCCTCCCCGTGCACACCTCACACCCCACACCTCACACCCCACACCCCACACCCCACACCCCACACCCCACCCCCGGGTCGGCGCTGGCTGTGGCTGAGGGCAGCGCCGTGGCCTGGGTTGACCCCGAGGAGGCTGAGTGCCCAGATGCTGCTGGTGCTCAGGAGCAGCTGGCGGAGAGGCCAGAGGAACCGCAAAGGTAGGGCAGGAAGCATCTCTCAGGCCTTTCCCGGGGTTTCTGGGGACTGAGCGTGGGGTGCAGCCTTTGGGGTTTGGGGCAGGACCGGGCCAGGGGCTCAGGAACAGCTTCCAAGCACGACTGAGCCCACCTCCCGCAGCTCCCCGGTGAGCGTGTGCACAGACAGGCAACCACATGCCACTCCCTGACCGTCCGAGAACACAGGTGTGTGTGAGGGCAGTGCACCCCACAGGGCGGTGTCCCAACAGCACCGGGAACCAGAGCCCGTCTGCTCGGGGCCAGGCCGCCAGGGGCCCAGGCTGCAGCTCCGCCTTCGCCCCTCCTTTCCCAGGGCAGACCACAGGCCCCACCGCAGGCCTGTCCGGGGGTGTCCGCACCCCTCATGGCAACCGGCCAGAGGCTCCCCTCCTGCCCCCCCTGCTCCCCGGCGCCTGGGGGTGGAGGCCTGGCTCAGGCTGGGTCCCTGAGGGACAGGCGGGGAAGGCTCCCCTCCCTCCCGGCTCCCACTCACCCTGAGTCCCTGCCTGGCTCTGCCTCTCCCCATTGTGTCTGTCTGCTCTGGAGGCCGCACAGAAAGTGCTCACGGCTCCTGGGTGCCCAGGGCAGCTCTGTGGGGTGGGGGAGGGTGGCCTGAGCCAGAGGAGGGGATGCTGGGCCCCTGGCCCTGTGGCTGGGCTGGCCCTGGCCTCCCGGGCCCAGGTGGTGCGGATGCAGGAGGCGCAGGCTCCGGAGAGGGACCGGCTCGGTGCGGCCTCCCCAGGTCTGGGCGACGGAAGGCCTGCCCGGCTGGCACTCTGGCCTAGAACCCGTGCCCGCCGGTATGCGGCACAGCCACTGGCACAGCAGCTCCGGGTCTCACTGAGCAGGCTGGGGGGCCCCCTCCGTGGCTGGGGGGCTTAGGCTGAGGCAGGAAGACCTGTTTGCTGTGGGGCCCTCATTTACCCCTCTCCCTCCACGCACGCCTGCCTCTGTCCTGGGGCCCAGGACACCTGTCACTCATCCTGTTAGCAGCGCCTCAGGCTGCTGAGCTGGGTGAGCGGGAGGCCGCAGACTCACAGCCTCCGAGCGGAGGGTGAGCACAGGGCACAGCCTGGCACAGGCACCTCCTGCCCTCTGCTTGGCCCTTCCCTGTAGCGGGGGAGAGGCAGCGGGAGGCTGAGCAGGGGCCAGGCTGAGGCTGAGGCTGAGACCGGCTGGGGATGGGGTGGGAGGCAACCCTGTGTCCTCAGGGGGAGGGGCTTTCGGGAAAGGCTTTGCCTTGCCTGGCCCTTGCCGGGAGGGGGTGGAGGGGAATCAGGTGGAGGGGGGGAGGGAGGGGAATAGAGGTTAAGGCCCCTGAGGAAGGAGTCAGGCCTGCTCGGGTCCCTGGTGGCTGCTGGAGGAGCTGGCCCGCTCCGCCATCAGGACCGGAAGCTGGGGAGGCTCCTCTGGACCCTCAGGCTGGAGCTTGAGTCCCATCTCCTGACGGTTCCTCTCTCAGCTGCCTTAGCCTGGGGGGGGGGGGGGAGTTTGGGGGAGCCAAAAGGGGCCGGGGCCCAGGAGGGATGGCCAGGGAGGCCCAGGCTGTGGGGGTGGGGGGTGGAGACCAGGCCACACCCCACGGGGGATCAGGCAGTGGAAGTGAGTGAACTCCACCACCGGGCTCTTCACGGAGTGTGTTGGGGGCGATGCGCCCACACAGGATTACGCCCCATTTGCAGCAATTTTCAAGTTAAGGTGTTGTCAGAGGGCTGTCAGGCTGTGATGTGTCTTTTCTGTTCACCCGCCCACGTGTGTGTTCTCGTTGGGGTGGGAGGGGAGGGGAGGGGAGGGGAGGGGGAGCCTGGCTTGGGTTCAGAGATGTGGGGGGCGCTCGGAGGTACAGGGGGCGTGAGGGTGGTCCGTGCCCGGTCCCAGGCGCGTTTCCCTCCTACCGGGGACGAAGCAGACGGTGGTGCCAGTGCTGGTGCCCTCGGAGGCCCTGAGCCGGGACGGACCAGCCCGAGCAGCTGGGGGGAGCGGCCGCGGAGGAGAGGAAGGGGCGCTGGGCGCTAATGGCCGGGAGGGAGGAAGGAAGGACGTGCTGGGCTAATGGGATAATCGGATAACCTCGGAGCGAGCGGGCTGCCAGGCTGGGGCCAGCTGCTGGGCGCGGACACAAATAGCAGAGAAACAGGGGTGCTGGGACAGGAAGCCGCTGGCTCGTCGCTGAGGGATGTGGGGGAGGGGTGGTGGTGGCCAGGGGGTGGGGAAGGGGGTGGAAGGGAAACTGGGACCCCCTCCCCCATTCCACGGG